ANAAAGANNAACTATCTTAGGTTANTNTTTTCGTTTATAANCTTGATNTTTGTGCAACACGTAACCGATAGAGATTATTGGTAGAAGCTGCCTTGATTAACTTAATCATGTATTGGTGGAGANGAANGGATGNTGAGCTTATGGATAATTCAACGANTTTCTATAAATTGTTCACTGAGATTAGTTCGTTTTGCAATGACTTTACAATAATATCAAGNTANTAACNATTTTTTTGTTGGTCACTTCGTATTCTTTTTCATAGTTTTTAATCATCATTTTGTTTTTGTTTTGTTAGAATTTGGATGTTTTATACGACTTTCAAGATTTTCAAGAGACTTTATCTCACAAACCTCTCATGTGTTCCAAATATATTTGCTGGGACATAGATGATTTTACATCCAGAAACGAGAGAATGGATATCAACCCAGGTAAAACCTATGGTTCCATTTTCATTTTTTGAAAAAACCCATTCAATGTATCTTCGTTTCTTTCTATGGTTACTTCACTTCGTTGTTCAATGTCACGTTAACCAAACAATTGATCTACTTCTCATGTTTGATTAGGTTAACTAAACCATTATTTTCGATTCTTGGTTGCTTCATGAATATAATATGAATTGATGTACTGATCGTTTTTATANTAAAGTCTACTGGATGATAGNATGNTGAAAANTNGGGGTTGGAGAGCNGAAAGAGTTATACAAAGAGAGTTAAAATACTACAAGCTGGAAGGGATGCATGAGTTTCTGCAAATTGTTAGAGGTTCAAATCATATAACCGGTTACAAGTCGAGAACATGAGTAGTCGAACAAGGATTTAAGTATAAACATCTTTNAATATGAATACCAAGTTAGTGTCATGTAGCATTGTTAGGTTTAATTATCTATTTTTTGATGATTAATTCTTCACCTTAGCTCAACGTTTAAGGACATTCATGAGAATAACAATGATCAAACATAAATTAAGGTATGATTTCTAATCATTATTGCCAACACATATGAACACGTTTTGGGATTGCGGTGTTGGTTAATAACCAACAATGGAAAGAAAAAATAGATGCGAAGAACAAGAAGACTAACGATGAGGAGAGCTTCAAATACGTGAGCATGAAGCAACAAACAAAGATTGTGAAAGAATTTGCTGCTAAGAGCAAATAATAATAAAAAAGAAAATCGTATAGCCTTTTTTAGATCATTTTTGTTGTTCCTCGGATTGTAATGGTTTCTTTTGAGAAATCTACACATGATTTCTAATTAAATTTACAAAACAAACCACTTCATTCGTAGTTTATTAAAATACTTTTTGAGTTCTTTTTAATATAATTAGGTTATTAACCTTTTAACTATAATTTTTTTTGATTCATGTGTACTTTGATTTACATGTGTTGAGTGATTTGTTATTTAATTATGTAGTCTGATGACTTTAAAATTATAAATCCTTCCATATCCTGAGTTTATCAAAATTAGCACATGTATAACAAATCCAAATTACGTCACGGGTCTCATAAGTGTGTATTTTATATGCAGTCATAGTGTAAAACTTCATTTTTTTGTCATTATGTTTGTTACATAGAAATATTTTATGAAACGTAGTTCAATATTGATAACATAAATGTTCTCTATAAAATTAATATTAAATTATACCAATGGTTTTTTTTTTCTTAAATCTTGATTTTCTCCTGATTCAATAAGAGACTCTAAACTGTAGTACTAGAAGGAGTAATATACTTACCCATACATGAGTTTTCATTCAGTAGTACTAGAAGGAGTAATATACTTTCCCATACATGAGTTTTAATTCAGCGATCAAANAAAGGACACTTTTATNTATTTTTTACTTTCNTTAGATTTTTNCTCTTCACCTTTNTATGTATNAGTTGTGCTTCTCTGTTTTTCANTGTGTTTATTGTTTATATTCAGTTGCTGATACAATTTAATTTTTCATTCTATCAGATGTATATGAGCAATAATACACCTATGAATTTTGTTACTCTCATCGTTTCTCTTTTTGTTTAGATTTTTTCTGATAATTACACAATAATTTTATAAGAACTC